TTAAAATGGCAACTAGAGGGCCCTCCCTGGTGGCGCAGCGGGTTAAAGCACTGCACTAAGAATCTAAAGCCACTTCCGCATGAGTTCAATCCCCGCCTGCCCGGGAGGTGCTCCACATGGCGTGGCAGATCTCTCCTGACCCGCCTGCTGCTCCCCTCAGCAGTGTACTTCATCTGTCTGCCTGTTCTGCAGCCGCTCTGTGTGTGGTGAATCCTTTCACCGTCCCTGCACCTCTGGCCTGTACCCAGGGAAGATATCTCCAAAGCAAATGGAAAAGTGGTAATTGAGTTAGCGAGCGTTAGGTGCTTCAAGTTGAAGCACGGCCGGTATAGTTCAGAAATGGAAGGCATTGGTTACTGTGGCAGGATGAGGGCCAGATGGAGGGTCTTCTCTGCACCCTGGATAGCTAACCACCTGCCTTTTCCTTTCCCGCCCCACGCTAGCAGCAGGTGGGAGGTTACTCTTTGGAGAAACTGAACTAGTATAATGTTGGAAGCATGTGCGGTGACTGAAATCAGGGAGCTGAAGCCTCCATGCTTGTCCCGTGCCCTGTTCCATAGTGCCAGTGGCCTGGTGTGTGTGGCTTCCACGATGGAGGCAGGATTTTCCCTTGAGAAACTGAACAGCAGGGAGAAATGTTCCCAGGTACTGAAATGTGTGGTTTCGTCAGGGCAAATCTTGGCATCTTTCCCCCCACCCCTTATTACTTTGAGCTTACCTCCTAATAAAGCTCCTTTACCTCTACAGAGCTCTAATCTGCTTTTAGTTCAATAATTTGAGTCATATTAGGCTCTAAGATAGCTAAGACAGGGACCAAAGCAAATATGAAAAGAAAAATGTTGCAGAATATGGGGATATACTGTAGGATGCAGACAGAACAGATTTTTTGGAAAAAGGTGTAATTTCCCCCAGAGAGCAAGAAGATAGCTCATATCTAAAATAATAATAGCAGTTATGAAAGAGAAACAATTAGAGCACAAGAATGAAGAAAGTGAAATGATAAATTCCTAGAATGTTTAAGAAAATCTGAGGCTGTATTTTTCAAAGTAGAACAAAAAGGGTGGATTTAAAATGCAGATGAGAAAATAAATATGGAAAATCTAAATGTGCTGTAAAGGACCCAGCATCATTAATACATTAGAAGCAAAAACCAAAAGCAAAACAAAATGATTCTCTAAATATTACCACAGAAATAATACAGGGACATTTTCTGGAACTGAAGACATAAATTTCCAAGTCGAAGGAGGAATGTATTAAATACCTGTGTTTTATAGAACAGCCCCATTTTTATAAAAGTTCCCTTACTTCAGTATGTCGTTGTGAAACTTCAGAACACCTGTGACAAAGGTTCTAAAAACTTTGAGGGAAAATTAACAGGACATACATAGAGGGAAGGCTATCATAGCAGTATTAGAATTCTTAAGAGTGTTGCTGGAAACTAGGAGGGAATGGAGAAATACTTAAACATCTGAGGAAAATTCACTTATTTTTAAAGATTGATTTATTTGTGCATACAGAACTAGGGTACAGGCCAGAGGTGCAGGGGCAGTGAGAGGACTTACCAGGGACAGAGTGGGGAACAGAACAGGCAGATCAATGAAGT